GGACTCACCTGTGCATCGATAATCTTCTGCTTGGAATCCACGGCAGCCTGCATTTCTGCGTGGTCCTTCTTTAACTCCTCCTCAACCGACATCAGTCTGGCCGCCGAACAGACAAGAAAAAAAATTACATGCGTTGGGCTCTGCTACGCCCAGATATTGTAACGCCTCATACACGTCTAAATCAACCACCCGGAGTGAACGATCAGATCATGTCCTTGTTTAGTCCTTGACACCAAGGAAGCAAAGGACGATGTACATCTCTGAAGCACACAGGAAGAGATGTGAAATACCAGCAGAGCCGGTCTACGGAGGGAACTGGCCTCACATAGCAGCCCCCATCATCCACACCAGGTCAAACCAGCTCATCTGAAATTGCAACGCTGAGGCAAACACCGAGATGCTCCCAGGGCCCACACTTGTGCATTCGAGCACAGAGGAGACACACACCCCCATAGGCGCTGCCGCTTCTTAGGCACAAACCAAGAGTTTAGAACCAGCCTTTTTTCTGGCTCTTCCTCTTCTCTCAAGGCCTGTACAGCAGACTGTCCCAAAGCTCAAGTGACCAGGAGAGTGAAGGCTGACCCCTTTATCAGGGCTGATGAAAAGCACCAGGTTGGCTTGGCTCGGGTAAGGGTGAAGCCAGTTGCACTGGCACAGTCTGCGTCCCGGGCAAATGTAAACACCGCATCCCACTGGGTGGGAGAACGGGATTTATAGCTAGGAGTAATGGGATAGTGATGAGATCTTTAGCTAAACATCAGGAAAAAAACACTCTTGATCGTTGCATCTCTGGCTCATATGAACATAGCAGCAAGCCTGCCAGATCCTCCGAGAACTGGGGCGGGCTGACAGCTCTCTGCCTCTGTGAATTGGGAAAATGTCGGGGTTTTCCTTGTCCCTGGTAATGCTGATGGGGGGACCCAAAGAGTCAGTGCTTGAAATCCCTCCCACCGGGGGGATTTGGCCCTAACCAAAAAGGGCAGAAAGTGAATAAATGCTGGAAAACCCACATGGGAAACCTGCCTGTGCCTCCGGAGAAACCCAAGTCCCCTGGGCAGGGGTTATCTTTAACACCAGCCAGGCTCCCTGCCACCTCCAGCGCTCCCACCTCCCCTGTACCTGCTGATGATGCCCTTCATCTGGATCTCCTTATCCTCCTGCTGCCTCCGGAGCCGCTCCTCGCTCTCCTCCAGCCTGGCCTGGTACTCCAGCATCAACTTCTGCGTTGTCTCCTCCTGGCACTTGAAGCGAGTCTCATACTCCTCCAGCTTCTTGTTGGAGATGCGAAGCTTGTCCTGCAGCACCACTAGGTCCTGCTGGTACTGCAGCAGGCAAGGACAGACACAGGAGGAGAAAACACATGTGGCGGGTCACCTCGAAGGGCTTTGCCCTTGCCAGGGTTTCCCCGTAACCCAGTTATGCCCCTCTCCTTGCATTAGACTAGCTGCAAACCCGTATCAGATAACCCCGCTCGCCGACACCTCCTCTTCAGTCTTCTCCACACTGCGCTAGGAGCGATGCTGCGTTCCGCTGGGCGGGCAGGTCACTGGCAGGTTCAGAGAATGGGTTGTTAGCAGAGCCTGGCATTTCACATGGGGAATGCAGGTTAGAGTGAGTGAATGGCAAACGCATCTGGCATCTTCCTCAGACTAACAGCGCAGGGCTGAGCACAGGCAGGAGAAGCTG